AGCTACGTATTGCTCATCATTATGACTCCGACCTCATGTTTTTTAAGGTCACCCTGTATATTTAAGCCTCTCTCTGTCCATGTAACCAGCGTTTCTGAAGATGTCTTGAATAAAAAACATCTAAAAGCCAAGGTGCTCCGTTGCTCTTACTTCTCCGCAGCGATTCAACAAGACGCTAGTCTTATCCACGCCATTGTGGATTTACATGAAATATATATATATATATATATATACAGTTTTAGTTCAGAGAATACGCGACTTTTGAATACAGGAACTCGACTACTGGGGTGATCGAACTATCGTTAGCCGAGCAGCAGTTTAGACACACAAAGCCAGCTCACGAAGCGGCGCCGTGAATCCGTTCGGTATGGTGTCAGTAGTATTTTAGCCGAATTCAGAAACGAGGCAATATTATATGTTTCATTTTTAGTTCATATCGACGCCGCTTCTGGAACATAATCAACGACCACCACAAAGCAACGAACCCTCGACCTACTGGGTGGGACTAGGAACGCTAATGGCCAGGCCACAAGGACACTAAAAGCAGTTCTAGACTCTGTTATATTTCACACAAAGCTCGTTCATCGAGCTGATGGCGCCCGTGAGGTCGTTGATTATATGTTCAAAGTCCGCGTGTTATATGGACTAAAAATGAAGTATATATATGTACCCTCAGCGTTTCATACCATGGATCTGGTAAATGCTACTGACACTACATACAGGCACAGAAGCTTCTCAATGAGGTTCATGGCGCCATCAGCTCGATGAACAGGCTTTGTGTGAAATATAACAGAGTCTAGAACTGCTTTTAGTGTCCTTTGTGGCTCAGCCGGTAAGCGTTCCTAGTCACACCCAGTAGGTCGAGGGTTCAGACCTTGCGTGAGGTCGTTGATTATATGTTCAAAGTCCGCTGTTATATGACTAAAAATGAAGTATATATATGTACCTGTCAACACGCGCCTGAATGCAAAATGCTACTGACACCACATAAGAGGCACGGGCATTCCCAATGAGGCTCACGCAGCCATCAGCTCGATGAACAGGCGAAAATATAAATATATTCAGAACTGCTTTTAGTGTCCTTGTGGCCTAGCCGGTAAGCCTCCTCAGTCCCACCCAGTAGGTCGAGAAGTCTCATTCCCAAAACATATATATATACATATATATATATATATATATATATATATATATATATATATATATATATATATATATATATATATATATATATACATATATATATATATGCATATATATATATATATGCTATATATATATATATATATATATATATATATATATATATATATATATATATATATATGTAATATTCCAGAAATTCTCAGTGTAATTTCAAAACGCCTACCATTGGCGATGCTGGAGTTCAAGGTCGTCTGAGGGAAGACCGCGCCCTCAAGACGAAGCGGTGAGTAGTTTTGTGGAACTAGGCCTATACGATATTAAATGTAATTTACCGGAGTTACTAGGGACGCTAAATCATGAAATTAAATATCAGTTATTAAATTGAAAGTACTAATTATAGATTGTTTCCCAGTCTGAAAATGCTACATTCAATTAAGCTTCGATAATCGCCTGGTAAATAAGTCACCCCTGGAAAGCGGAACTAGGAGCAAGCTGGCTGGGGAGCGAGTAGAGGTCAAGGACCACCCCTGTGCTGTACCCAGGTGAGGTACAGACGCTTGGACCTGGTTCCTTCAAGCATTTAACATCAGTATTAACAAGTAAGTTTTATTCAATCTCAGACAAAGCAGATAGGGCGGTGTAGGAACAAACGGTGATGTGAGACAATAGCACAGCCCAGGCTTAGGGTTCTGTGGTGACCCCACGCGTGCGATGCCAACGTCTCACCGGCGGATGAGACTATTGGTAAGCTGTATGACCGTCCACTGACCTGGGTTTGAGCCACCTGTTGAGTATGAGTTGTAGTGAAAACCAGCTGTCCTGATGGGCTAACCAACGAGTGACGACGTGCTTTGGGGTCCCTTAACACAGCTACCTGGGCAGCATCTTCACAGCTTAGTGAAAACCTTTATCAACGGAAGCAAAAGCTTCTCTCAAAATGTACAAGGTCTGATTGGCTCACTCCCTTCCATTCCATGGATGTATTAGGGTAAAGGAAGCAAGCTGAGGGAATACAGGGCCAACACTGGCCCTGTGAGTAGTGAACTTAGAGGTACATTTTCCAAGGTGGAGAAAGGCCGATTTAAATTAAAACTACAGTAGGTGGAATCTTATGTGTGTTAGGTTAGGAAGCATGGTTCACGGGTATTGCGGAGTCAGCAACTTTAATAATAGGACAAGATGTAGTTACACTATTTTTTCATAGTTACTGATGTATGATGTGTGTGAAAATATTTCTTAAATAATATTGATAGTATTGTTTTTAATGTGGTGTCACTAATTGAAACCAGAGAATGAGGGAACTGGTTTTCAGATGAGTTTCTTCCATATGTTGCAAGTGATTCTGTGACTTGGTTCCTATGCATTTAATTTTTCTTTATACCTGATCTCAGGTATAACCCTGTTCCCCAGAGAGTAGAGTTTAAGCTAGGTTAGGAAGTGTGCATCTGTTGGGGTAATATAATTTTGTTGAGTGCCCTGAAGACCTATTGAGGGTGAGCTACTAAAAGTTCTTATTTTTATACCATTTTCTCAGTGCTGGATATAATTTTGGTGAGTGCCCCCAAGGCCTATTCATTGTGAGCTATTAATTTCTTATTTTTTAATACCATTTTTCAGTGATTGATATTTTGTTGAAAGCCCTCCTTAAGGCCTGGTTCATGTGTGTGTGCAAGCAACATTTTAATACTAAATTTGTTGCTCCATCGAGGCATTGTCTGAGTTTCTCAATACTTAATATCATAACTTTTGTCTCCCCAGAGTGCGTTTTTAAGTTCAGGTTAGAAAAGCATATTGGTGAACCATTATTTGACTGTGTCTGTAGTGCTGAGGAATATAAGTGTTCAAATTTTACAGTGTAAGTCTCTTATCTGATCCCAGTCACAGACGCTATCCTTCCACGTCAGGGTCACGAGTAGGACAATTAATTTTGTTTAGTAGAATTAAGTGTTCTTGTGCTTGTTCGGGATTTTTCAATCCTTCCCTGTGGCTTGAGGATAACATACTGTAATCGAGCTGCAGCAACCAAACAACACTTTAAACGCTGAATTGTTAATTAAAATATCACCGCCAGTACAAAGACATTGAGTAAAATTTATGACAACAGCACAAAGTCAACAACTTTACTGAATATAAACAGAAAAACTTTTTCAATTTATGACTCATTAAAACATATATTACATGTGTACATTTCCCGTCAGTTCTGTTCTCATAAATGATAACACCTGTCTCTCTGTCACACCTCATTGGTCTTACGTCATTGCTCTTAGGAACTTTAACTACCCCAAAAAAAAAGACAAAATGTTTCTTCCTCCATATCAGTTATGTTATCATATATTGTGGAGGAGTAAACCAAGCAACACCATAACGTTCACCATTACACCACCATAATTTCTGACTCACTGTTGCTTGTTGGCCTAGTAGCATAACCCAGCAGAAAGGGGAGGATCAATCACGATATACATCAACGTGTCAACAAGTATTACCCAAAATATACAACATCAAGACGTGCTTTAATGAATCATAATTATATAATATAAATGTAAATGTAAAAGAGTTAACATTCAACCAGTAACGGATTTGATTTTTCATTCGATTTCCATTTCCATATTTTTCAGATGAATGCTTCTTAGTTCAGGAGCGCGAGCCATAAACTACTCGTGAGTAAAAAATATTCGTATGTCAGTATTTTTGTTTATAATACTACAGGATATAAAAGTGTTTATTCCAGATCTTAACTACAAGTGGAGTTGGAAGCTCTCCGCAGACGGCAGGTGGAGCCGTGAGGTGGGCCGTGAGTTGGAGTGGGCCGTGAATATGGAGCGGAAGCCGTGAATGTGGAGTGGGCCGTGGGTGGAGTGGGCCCGTGAATGTGGAGTGGGCCGTGAGGGTGGAGCGGGCCGTGAATGTGGAGTGGGCCGTAAGGGTGGAGCAGGCCGTGAATATGGAGTGGGCCGTGAGGTGGAGTGGACCGTGAGGGTGGAGAGGGCCGAAAGGGTGGAGAGCGCCGTAAGGGAAGAGTTGGCCTTGAGGAAGAGTTGGCCTTGAGGTGGAGCAGGCCTTGAGGGTGGAGCAGGCCGCAGGGCTGGAGTGGAGCCGTGAGGGTGGAGCAGGCCGCGAGGCTGGAGTGGGCGTGAGGGTGGAGCGGGCCGTAAATATGGAGTGGGTCGTGAGGTGGAGCAGGCCGTGAATGTGGAGTGGGTCGTGAGGTGGAGGGGCCGTGGGGTGGGGGGAGGGGGCCGTAAGGGTGGAGAGCGCCGTGAGGAAGAGTTGGCCTTGAGGAAAGGGTTGGCCTTGACGGTGGAGTGGGCCGTGAATGTGGAGTAGAGTCGTGAGGCTGGGTGGGCCCTGAGGGTGGGTGGACTGTGAGGGTGGAGGGGGCCGTGGGGTGGAGAGCGCCGTGAGCGTGGAGTGGGCCTTGAATGTGGAGTGGGTCGTGAGGCTGGAGGGGCCCTGGGGTGGAGCGGGCAGCAGATGTGGAGTGGGTCGTGGGGTGGAGCGGGCCGTGAATGTGGAGTGGGTCGTGAGATTGGAGTGGACCGTGAGGGTGGAGGGGGCCAAAGGGTGGAGAGCGCCGTGAGGGAAGATTGGCCTTGAGGAAGAGTTGGCCTTGACGTGGAGTGGGCCGTGAATGTGGAGTGGGTCGTGAGGCTGGAGTGGGCCCTGAGGGTGGAGTGGACTGTGAGGGTGGAGGGCCGTGAGGTGGAGAACGCCGTTACGTGGAGTGGGCCAATGTGGAGTGGGTCGTGAGGCTGGAGTGGGCCCTGAGGAGGTGGGCAGGGCAGCAGATGTGGAGTGGGTCGTGGGGGTGGGGGGCCGTGAGGTGGGGTGTGCCGTGAATATGGAGTGGATCGTGAGGTGGAGCGGGCCGTGAATGTGGTGGGCCGTGAGGTAGACGGGCCTGAGGGTGGGTGGGCCGTGAATATGGGTGGGTCGTGAGGGTGGAGCGGGCCGTGTGGATGTGGAGTGGGTCGTGGGGTGGAGCGGGCCGTGAGGGTGGAGTGGGCCGTGAATATGGAGTGGGTCGGTGAGGTGGAGCGGGCCTGTGAATGTGGAAGGTGCGTGAGGGTGGAGTGGACCGTGAGGGTGGAAGCCGTGGGGTGGAGAGCGCCGTGAGGGAAAGAGTTGTTGAGGAAGAGTTGGCCTTGACGGTGGAGTGGGCCGTGAATGTGGAGTAGGTCGTGAGGCTGGAGTGGGCCCTGAGGGGTGGAGTGGACTGTGAGGGTGGGGGGCCGTGGGGTGGGGCACTGAGCGTGGGTGGGCCTAGAATGTGGAGTGGAGTCGTGAGGCTGGAATGGGCCCTGAGGGGGTGGAGCGGGCCGTGAATGTGGGTGGGCCGTGAGGTGGACTGGACCGTGAGGGTGGAGGGGGGCCATGGGGTGGAGAGCGCCGTGGGGAGTTGGCCTTGAGAGAGTTGGCCCTGACGGTGGAGTGGGCCGTGAATGTGGAGTAGGTCGTGAGGCTGGAGTGGGCCCTGAGGGTGGAGGGACTGTGAGGGTGGAGGGGCCGGGGGTGGAGAACGCAGTTAGCGTGGGTGGGCCTGAATGGGAGTAGGTCGAGGCTGGAGGGGCCCTGGAGGGTGAGCGGGCGTGAATGTGGAGGTCGAGGTGGAGAGGCCGGAGGGGAGGCGAATATGGAGGACGTGAGGTGGAGCGGCCGTGATGAGGCCGTGAGGGGTGGAGCGGGCCGTGAGGGTGAGGGCCGTGAAAGGAGGGTCGTGAGGTGGAGCGGGCCGTGAATGTGGTGGGTCAGGGTGGAGCGGGCCGTGAGGTGGAGGCCGGAATGGAGGGTCGTGGGGTGAGCGGGCCGAATGTGGAGTGGGCCGTGAGGGTGGAGGGACCGTGAGGGGTGGAGGGCCGTAAGGGTGGAGAGCGCCGTGAGGGAAGAGTTGGCCTTGAGGGAAGAGTTGGCCTTGACGGTGGAGGGGCCGTGAATGGAGTAGGTCGGGAGGCTGAGGGCCCTGAGGTGGAGTGGACTGTGAGGGTGGAGGGGGCTGGGGTGGGAGAGCGTGAGCGGAGTGGGCCTTGAATGGGAGTAGGTCGTGAGGGCTGGAATGGGCCTGAGGGTGGAGCGGGCCGTGAATGTGGAGGGGGCGAGGGGTGGACTGACCGTGAGGGTGGGAGGGGCCAAGGGTGGAGAGCGAGGGGAAGAGTTGGCCTTGAGGGAAGAGTTGGCCTGACGGTGGAGGCCGAAGGAGTAGGTCGTGAGGGCTGGAGGGGCCCTGAGGGTGGAGGACTGTGAGGGTGGAGGGGCCGGTGGTGGAGAGCGCAGTGAGCGTGGAGGGCCTTGAATGTGGAGTAGGTCGGGAGGCTGGAGGGCCTGAGGGTGGAGCGGGCCGTGAATGTGGATCGGGCCGGGAGGGCAGGGCCGAGGGGTGGAGGGGCCGTGAATATGGAGTGGGTCGAGGGTGCAGCGGGCCGTGAATGTGGGAGGGCCGTGAGGCTGGAGGGGGCCGGGGAGGGTGAGGCCGTGAAGGTGGAGGTCGTGAGGGTGGAGCGGGCCGTGAATGTGGAGTGGGGTCGTGAGGGTGAGCGGCTGAGGGTGGAGTGGGCCGTGAATATGGAGTGGGTCGAGGGTGGAGCGGCCGTGAATGTGGAGGGGCTGTGGAGGAGAGGGACCGTGAGGGTGGAGGGGGCCAGGGTGAGAACGCCGTGAGGGAAGAGTTGCCCAGAGGGAAGAGTTGGCCTTGACGGTGGAGTGGGCTGTGAATGTGGAGTAGGTCGTGAGGCTGGAGGCCCTGAGGGTGGAGGACTGTGAGGGTGGAGGGGGCAAGGGTGGAGAGCGCCGTGAGCGTGGAGTGGGCCTTGAATGTGGAGTAGGTCGAGGCTGGAATGGGCCCTGGAGGGTGGAGCGGGCCGTGAATGTGGAGTGGGCCGTGAGGGTGGACTGGACCGTGAGGGAGGGGCCGTAAGGGTGGAGAGCGCCGTGAGGGAAGAGTTGGCCTTGAGGGAAGAGTTGGCCTTGACGGTGGGTGGGCCGTGAATGTGGAGTAGGTCGTGAGGCTGGAGTGGGCCCTGAGGGTGGAGTGGACTGTGAGGGGTGGAGGGGCCGTGGGGTGGAGGCAGGTGAGCGTGGAGTGGAGCCTTGAATGTGGGTGGGTCGTGAGGCTGGGTGGGCCCTGAGGGTGGAGCAGACATGTGGATGGGTCAGGGAGGGTGTTGCGGGCCGTGGGGTGGAGGGGCCGTGAATATGGGTGGGTGGGGGTGGGCGGCCGTGAGAGGTGGGCGTGAGTGGAGGGGCCATGGGGTGAAGCTATGAGGGAGGAGTTGGCCTTGAGGGTGGACGGGCGCGAAGTGGAGTGGGCCGTGAATATGGAGTGGGTCGTGGAGGTGGAGTGGGCCCGTGAGGTGGAGTGGACCGTGGGCTGGAGGCCATGGGGTGGAAGCATGAGGGAGGTGGCCTTGTGAGGGTGGGGCAGGCCGCAGAGTGGGTGCCAATGTGGGATGGAGTGGTCGTGGTGGAGGGGGCCGTAAGGGTGGAGAAGCGCCTGGAGGAGAGTTGGCCTTGAGGGGTGAGTGGGCCGCAGTGGAGTGGGCCTGTGAATATGGAGTGGCTGAGGTGGGCAGCTGGTCTGGAGTGGGCCGTGAGGTGGAAGTGGACCGTGAGGTGGAGGCCGTAAGGGTGGAAGCGCCGTGAGGGAAGAGTTGGCCTTGAGGAATTGGAGCAGGCCTTGGTGGAGTGGGCCGTGAGGTGGACTGGGCCCGTGGTGGGCGGGCCGTGAATGTGGGAATGGAGTCGTGGTGGAGCGGGCCGTGAGGGCATGGGTTTGGGCGGGCCGTGGTGGAGGGCCGTGGGGGTGGAGGCGCCGTGAGGGGTGGAGCGGGCCGTGAATGTAGGTGGGCCGTGAGGGTGGGCGGGCCGTGAAGGTGGAGTGGGCCGTGAATGTGGAGTGGGCCGTGTGAGGTTGGAGCGGGCCGTTAGGGGTGGAGGGGCCGTGAGGGATTGGAGCGCCGTGAGGGAGTTGGCCTGAGGGGTGGGGCGGGCGCGGATGGGTGGGCCGTGAATGTGGGAGTGGGCCGTGGGGTGGGCGACTGAATGGGAGGGCTTGGGTGGACGAGCCGTGAATATGGGTGGAGCCGTGAGGTGGAAGTGGACCGTGGTGGTGGAGTGGCCGTGAGGTGGAGAGCGCCGTAAGGAAGAGTTGTAGTGGAGGGGCCTTGAGGGTGGAGCGGGCCGGAGGCTGGTGGGCCGTGGGTGGAGCCGTGGATGTGGAGCCGGCAGGTGGAGCAGGCCGTAGGTGAGCGCTGAGGACGGACCGTGAATGTGGAGTAGGTCGTGAGGGTGGAGTGGACCGTGAGGGGTGGAGGGCCGTAAGGGTGGAGAACGCCGTGAGAAGAGTTGGCCTTGAGGAAGAGTTGGCCTTGACGGTGGGTGGGCCGTGAATGTGGGCTAGGTCGTGAAGCTGGGTGGGCTAGGGGTGAGTGGACTGTGAGGGTGGAGGGGCCGTGAGGTGGAGAGCGCAGTGAGCGTGGATAGGCCTTGAATTTGGAGTGGGTCGTGAGGCTGGGTGGGCCCTGAGGTGGAGCAGGCCGTGATGTGGATCAGGTCAGGAGGTGTTGCAGGGCCGTGAGGGTGGAGTGGGCCGTGAATATGGAGTGGGTCGTGGTGGGCGGAGCCGTGAATGTGGAGTGGGCCGTGAGGCTGGAGGGAGGCCATGGGGTGGAGGCACTTTGTGAGGGAGGAGTTGGCCTTGAGGGGGACGGGCCGCAGAAGTGGAGTGGGCCGTGAATATGGAGTGGAGTCGTGTGAGGGTGGAGTGGGCCGTGGTGGAGTGGACCGTGGGGTGGAGGGGGCCGTAGGGGTCAGAGAAGCGCCTTGAGGGGAGGTCTGGCCTTGAGGGTGGAGCCGGGCCTGAAGAAGTGGGTGGGCCGTGAATATGGGTGGGTCGTGAGGGTGGAGGGGCCGTAGGGTGGAAGCGCCTGGAGGGAGGAGTTGGCCTTGAGGGTGGAGTGGGCCGCAGAAGTGGAGTGGGCCGTGAATATGGAGTGGGTCGTGAGGTGGAGCAGGGCCGTGAATGTGGAGTGGGCCGTGGGTGGATGGACGTGGGGGTGGAGGGGCCGTAAGGGTGGAGAAGCGCCGTGAGAGTTGGCCTTGAGGGTGGAGCGGGCCTTGAGGGGTGCACGGTGGCGGGCCGTGAGGGTGGAGCGGGCCGTGAATGGGAGTGGGTCGGAGGGTGGGGGCCGTGAATGTGGAGTGGGCCGTGGTGGAGCAGACCGTGAGGTGGAGGGGCCGTGTGGAAGCGCCGTGAGGAGAGTTGCCTTGAGGTTGAGTGGCCGTGGTGAGCGCGTGAATGGGTGGGCCTGAGGGTGAGAAGCGCCGTGAGGGAAGAGTTGGCTTGAAGGGGAGGGCCGCGAGGGTGGGAGCAGGGCCGTGAATGTGGAGTGGGTCGTGGGGGTGGGCGGGCCGTGAATGTGGAGTGGGCCGTGAGGGTGGAGCGGGCCGTGAGGGTGGAGGGGGCCGTGAGGGGTGGAAGCGCCGTGAGGGAAGAGTTGGCCTTGAGGGTGGAGCGGGCCGCAGGGTGGGTGCGCCGTGAATGTGGGTGGGCCGTGAGGGTGGGGCGGGCCGTGAAGAGGTGTGTGAGGATGGAGCGGGCCGTGAGGGGTGGAGCGGGCCGTGAATGTGGGTGGGCCGTGGTGGAAGTGCCGTGAGGAAGAGTTGGCCTTGAGGTGGAGCGGGCCGCGAGGTGGAAGCGGCCGTGAGGGGAAGGTTGGCCTTGAGGGTGGGTGAATGTGGAGTGGGCCGTGAGGGGTGGAGCAGGCCGTGAATGTGGAGTGGGCCGTGAGGTGGAGCGGGCCGTGTGAATGTGGAGTGGGCGTGAGGTTGGAGCGGGCCGTGAGGGAAAGTTGCCTTGAGGGTGGAGTGGGCCGGCAGATGTGGAGTGGGCCGTGAGGGGTTGGAGTGGGCCGTGAGGGTGGAGTGGGTCGTGAGGCTGGAGTGGGCCGTGAGGGGTGGAGCGGGCAGCAAATGTGGAGTGGGTCGTGAGGGTGGGCGGGCCGTGAATGTGGAGTGGGCCGTGAGGTTGGAGTGGGCCGTGAGGTGGAGTGGGCCGTGAGGCTGGGTGAGCCGTGAGGTGGAGTGGGCCAGAGGATGGGTGGTGGGGTGGAGTGGGCCGTGAGGATGGAGCGGGTGGTGAGGTGGGTGGGCTCTGAGGGTGGACGGAGGAGAATGACTCACTGCGTGGTAATGGTAGAGTGGAGGAACAATTTGAAGACAGGTGGATGTTGGGCGCTCGTGTTGGGAACTTGGCCGCCCTAGGACCAGCTAAGTGAATTAGAAGCTGTTGATAATATAATAACCACACCCTAAGTTAACGAGCTGTGTGACCCAGTGTAGTAATACTCCAACAAAAAAGCTGACGTCTTACTAACGCACTGACTAACCATTATCCAGTTCGATTAATGTAGGCTCCCAACCTGCTGGGTAGACAGAGGTCAAGAGGCGTAAAGAATCGAACCCGGTACCACACTCTCCTGAGGCGACCATCCTGCCCATTGCAACATCAGTCAACCAAGGGAAAGTATGAAAACACACACACACACACACACCACACACACGCGCGCCACACACACACACACACACACACACACACACACACACACACACACACACACACACACACACACGTTCTCCGCCGGCCAGCAAGTCAACTTTAACTTGGGGCTCAGCGTCGGAAATATGCAGAGAAACATTACAGGAGTTTTTGTGGCAGAAATGTTGGAGGTGCTGCAGTCTCTAACGTAAATACCAGACCTGTTGCTTCTTGTTGCATAAGTGCAGCTTTCATGCCATACTTACCCACTAAATTTGTAGAACTTTTCATTTGAGGAGATGAACTTTATTCTTGATTTACTACACCGATGGTACTATATGTTGAGTCTTAGGTAGCTTATTTGTTGTTGTTGTTGTTTTCTGTATTTTTGTCGGTGTGATTGATCTTCCTTCACTTGTGTATAATTATTAAAAAATAATAAAACTTTACCAGTGAAAAGTCGGACATTTTGTATAAACTGATGTAACTATATTGTCTTTTCGGTAACATGGTGGAACAATATAATACACCTGAGATAAAGGCCAGTGTTACCTATAAAAATCTAATGATGAAAACCTGATGAGTGGCCCCCCGCTGACGAGTGCTTCCCCCGCTGACGAGTGTTTCTGACAGTGTTTCCCCACTGACGAGTGTTTCCCACCCTGTCGAGTGTTTCCCCCATGACAGTGTTTCTCCCCTGACAGTGTTTCCCCCAGCTGACGAGTGTTTCCACCGCTGACAGTGTTTCCCCGCTGACGAGTGTTTCCCCCAGCGGCAGAAGTGCTTCCTCTGACGAGTGTTTCCTACCGCTGACGAGTGTTTCCCCACCGCTGGCATTCCCCAGCTGACAGTGCTTCCTCTGACAGTGCTTCCACCGCTGAAGTGTCCACCGCTCAGTGCTTCCCCAGCTGACAGTTTTTCCTCCTGACGAGTGCTTCCCATGACGAATGTTTCCCACCATGACAGTGTTTCTTCCTGACGAAGCTTCCCCAACTGACAAGTGCTTCCTCTGACAGTGCTTCCCCACTGGTGATGTTTTATGACAGTGTTTCCTCCTGACGAGTGCTTCCCCAGCTGACAGTGCTTCCTCCTGATGAGTGCTTCCCCCGCTGACAGTGTTTCCCACCCTGACAAGTTGTTTCCACCGCTGACGAATGTTTCCACCGCTGACGAGTGCTTCCCGCTGTGATGTTTCTCCCCCTGACGAGTGCTTCCCCAGCTGACGATTGCTTCCTCCTGACGAGTGCTTCCACCGCTGACGAGTTGTTCCCACCGCTGACGAATGTTTCCCACCGCTGACAGTGCTTACCCCGCTGACGAGTGTTTCTCCCCGCTGACGAGTGCTTCCCCAGCTGACGGTGCTTCCTCCCTGACGAAGTGTTTCCTACCGCTGACGAATGTTTTTCCCCGGTGACTAGTGTTCCCCCTGCTGACGAGTGCTTCCCCCTCTGACGAGTATTCCCCCCGCTGACGGTGTTTCCTACCGCTGACGAGTGTTTCCCACCGCTGACAGTGTTTCCCACCGGTGACAGTGCTTCTCCCCTGATGAGTGCTTCCCCGCTGATGTTTCCCCCATGACAGTGTTTCCCCCACTGACGAGTGTTTCCCACCGCTGTCGAGTGTTTCCCGCTGACGGTGTTTCCCCGCGACAGTGTTTCCCCAGCTGACGAGTGTTTCCCACCATGACAGTGTTTCCCCCGACGAGTGTTTCCCC